AATGAGCATTGAGAAACACAGTGCAATTGCTTGGAAAAATAATACGTAGCCCTGCTTCAAGAAAAAAAAAACTTGGAGACTCCTAAGCCAGAGGGAACATAGGATGCTAACAGAGAAGACAACCAGTAGAGAAAACAGGAGAGCACAGAGCCTTGGGGTGTGACTGAGGAAGGGAAAGGTACAAAAAGGAAAGTTTGCACTGTTTTCTTTTGTTTCTTTCAACATCTGCTCCTCCCCTGCTTAGGCCCTGGAGCCTGAGAGTTTGCCCAATCATGGTGGTGAGCCCAGGTAAGCCCATCCTTTGCATAAACATCTACAGTTGTTTCTTTCTTCTCTCCTATTATATTTTTGAACCCTCTTCCAAAGGTCCAGTCATTCCCAAGACCAGAAAGCAAAGCAGGAAGAACCTGGATCTTGAACCTGAGCTCAAACTCCAAGTTTCTTCTCACTATTTTGCGACTCACTGACCCTGGCAAAGGTTCTTAAAAAGGAACAAAGGTCATTTAAGGGAAGGGCCCCGTGGGATGAGCTTCTTTTGCAGTGGCACAAATCCTAACCTCTACAGTCAGACTAGAGAAGGTCCTACTAGAAAGGTTATTTCACTTGTTATCACTCCTTGAAAACTTATTCTCTTGTTGGTGGAGGAAGGTTCACTGTAGAAGGCCAGGACTGAGGGATTAAGATTCACACACACACACACACACACACACACACACACACATCCCTCTATGTACCTTCCTCTTTCTCTGGGACCAGGCCAGGGACTCTTTCTTGCTAGGCCAAGACCTAACTTCTGCCCTAATACCTCAGAGTTACTGGTTGGGGCGAAAGAAAGGGCTTAGATCTCCAACCTGCCCACCACACCTGAGACAATATACTGTAGTATTAAGAATGTTAGCTTTTGGGGCAGCTAGGTGGCACGGTGGATAGAGCACCGGGCCTAGATTCAGGATGGACCTGAGTTCAAATTTGACCTCAAACACATAACATTTACTAGCTGTGTGACCCTGGGCAAGTCACTTAACCCCATTGCCTAGCTGCCCAAAAAAAATCAAAGAGGAAAAAAAAAGAATGTTGGCTTCGCATATTATTTTTTTACTTCTTTCCTTTCTTTTTTGTTTGAGTCTTCTTTCACAAAATGACTAATATGGAAATGTTTTACATGATTGTACATATATAACCTATATCAGATTGCTTGCCATCTCAGGGAAGAGAGAGGAAAGGAAAGAAGGGATAGAATTTGAAATTCAAAACTTAAAAAAAAAACAGTGAATATTAAAAATTGTTTTTACATGTAATCAGGGGAAAATATTATTTTAAAAAATCAAGCAAAAGAATTTTAGATTTAGAGTCAGAGAACCAGGGTTTTAATCTGTGCACTGTAATTTAAAGAACAGATGGGGAAAGGGTTGAAAGACTTTATCTACTTCACAGTTTCCTCTGGGGCCAGCCCTGGTGCAGTAGGTAACAACTCAGCCTAGCAAACTGAAGCTAAATTTACAATTTTACTCACCCCTTGTTATGGGCTAGGATATCAGTGGAACTGGGGAGTGGCTAGGGTTAATTTTATTTCCAGGTAGATTGACAGCTGTAGGCCTTTTTCATAACAACACTATAAAAAGCAGTTTTTATCACTTTGCCAGGGTACTCATGAAACCTCAGGGAATCCCCTTGATGGTTTGATTGTTTTATTGTCAATTGTTCTAGACTTCTTGATGGTGGGTTTTTTCTTCCCAAAATGCTTTGTAACTGTCTTGAGAACTACTATCTGAAAGTAGAATATAACTTTAGCAAAAAAAAAATTGCTTTTTTAAATCTTCAGGTTCTGAGTGATTCATTGCACTAGATAAGAAAAAATGGAAAAAGCTACCCAGGCCATTCCCCAAATACACAGAAAGGGAAAAGAAACAAGGCAGTAGAATTCTCCCTCTCTCCCTTAGATGGCAAAAAGGGTGAACTGCAAGGGCTATCCCAAGCAGCTCCTTGACATGTTCGAGTGAGGTACCTTAAAATCCACCCTGCCTACCCGTGAAGCACCCTCACGTTGACCTTAAAGAAGGTGCTGAACTGGCATAAAGGGTGGGTACAGAGAATAGATTCATAGTTATAGAGCTTGGAGAGAACTCAGAGACCACCTAGTCCTAACCCTTTCATTTTACCAATGAAGAAAGTGAAGCCCAGAGGATAGTAAGGGTCAAGGCTTCAAACTTCAAATATCTTCGCCACAAAATATAGTCTTCAGGCTCCAGCTTCTGTGAAGTGGAAGAAAGATGTCAACATTTCCTTCCCAGGGATCGCAGGATCTTAAACTCAGTTATGGGAAGAAACTTCGTTGTCATTCTACAGGTGGGGAAACTGAGGCCCAGAGAGGTTAAGTGACTTGTCTTAGTTCACGCAGGTAGTATAGTCAAAATACTTCTTTTTTTCTAATAACTGCCTAACCTAATCAAGCAATTGACCCACCAAGTAGGAAGTCCAACTAAAAAATAAATAAATTAATAAATTCTGAACAAAAAAATGAAGGACAAACAACTCACAGAACCATTTCCAGGGCAGACAGACAGGATCTTTGCTCCTGGGTACTGATACCTGTATTTACAATACTGCATTTTTGATTGGAGCTACCCTCATAGGGCCTCTCCAGCATTATTCTCAGTGTGTCAAAGAGTTTCTGCCACCAACTGAATTGAGAGTATCTTGCCTGCAAGGTGGCTTGGTGCATAGAGTACCAGGCCTGGAATCAAGAGGGCTCATCTTCCTGAGTTCAAATCTGGCTTCAGAGACTTACCAGTTGGGTGACCCTGGGCAAGTCACTTAACCCTGCTTGCCTCACTTTCCTTATCTGTCAAATGATCTGGAGGAGGACATGGCAAACCACTCTAGTATCTTTGCCAAGAAAACCCCAAATGGGGTCATGAAGAGTCAGACACAACTGAACAACTACAAAGAATCCTGCCTGCATGCTAATTGCTCCTGGTGGAAAAAAAAAATTGGTTAAGTCTATCAATATTAGTCATCACACAACGTGGCTGTTATTGTGTACAACGTTCTCTTGGTT